AAAGTGCGTACTAGAAATTTTCTAGAAAGAAAATTTTTTGTTTTTTTTTAAATTTTATATAAAGTGTGAAGCCTTGTTGTTGTATATCGTTTGTATTATAGAATGAACCTTATTTTCATAAATAATTCTTACAAAACTTGTTCACTGTGTGCATAAGAAAAAGGTCAACACTTTCATTTGTCGCCTAGTGTAACATAGCAACTGTTTGTTACGTTTGGTGCAACTTTTAATGTGCGTAAAGTCGTCTTATATCTGCAAAGTAATAAAATGCTGAATAAAAGACCGACTGAAATTCTAAGCTTTAACTGCATATATTTAAAACACTTCTGGGAAGAGTTCCGTCATTGTATTTACATTCATACAAAAGGATTTCTGCATGTATGTATGTACATTTGTTGGCTGTTTATAGTTTTAATGTTCTCCAGGCGTATGCAGATTTTTAATAACAGATATGAAATGTAAAAAAAAAAATATTTTATGTACTTACAGTATTTATGCACTCACATACATATACATATCCACAAGCTGGCTTGACAAGTGGTCAGTGACACAGCTGGCGCTCGTCTGGCACTTTCACACACACACACAAACGCAAATTGCAAATAAACTTGACAATAATTTCACTGCTAAACAAATTCTATAGAAATGCGAGAAGTAAAAGATAAAACGCACTGACTTGTCATACACTTAAGCGCACATTTTTCATATATTTTATGAGCTGCACATTATTACTGCATATTACACATTTTCTGTACTCTTTTCTCTAAAACATTCTGCGCTTGTGTGCGCGTTTGTGTGCCTATAAACGCGCAATAAAATATGCGCCAGCTGTCCTCACTACGTTTCGCTGGGCTTGCATTGTTCGTAACCGCAGCGGCCTCGCAATTTGTCAACGGAACTTTGCTTTTTTGTGCTTTTATTTATTTTTGTTTACTTTTTTTTTCTATTACATGAGCTCGTTTCGTTTTGTTATATGTATGTATGTGTACATTTTTGTTTTATGACCGTCACCGCCAAGGATTATTTTTTTAGTACCGATTTTGTTGGTTGACCTGCTTTTCGCAGAGGTTTATTTTTATTATTTTGCCTTAAATCATTCTACTTGAGTTCTATCAAAGTAATAAAATGTTACTTTTGTTTATCTTCAATTAATTTAAATAGACGGGCATAGGTACGGTGACCAGCTTTCTGTGGGGAAAAATCGGGATATTTCTAATGGAACTTTGTCGGCAGAATAAAAACACAAAATATACATATTTTAATGCAGTTTTTTTTTTTAATAAAATGCAACAATTATTATAAAAATATTACTAAAATCCGTGAGTTTTTAAGGACACTACCACATATATTTTCTTTAATTTAACTAAATTTTCATTCCCGTGATTTTTTTTTTGGAAAAATCTTCAATAGAAGATAGGGCATGTGCAAACGGCTATGCTATTTATTTGCCTCATCATCACCAAATATTGACGATTGATCTTTTTTTACTTCTAAGAAATGCATAAATAAAATACTTTCAATCGTGGTTAATCGGTATTAAAGTGAAAAATCGGGACGCTTATACGCACCGAATTATTACAAAATATTCAGCGGAATAACTTTCCTTAAATCCAGTCCCGCTGAAATGGGTACGAATGGTCACCATTGCCATAGGCATAAATTATGTAATATTAGGAAACGTTATATATGTATGCATGAGCACACATTTATTTGTGTACATTAGTACCTACATCAATGCGAAAAATCGAGACCATTACGGAAAAAAAATTTCTTTGCCAGCGAAAAGATTATAAAATGGGATGACAGCTAAGCGAGCTAATGTATATATGTATGTAGCTTTCAGATATGTGTACTTACATACATATGTATGTGTGAAAATATGGCGGCCGGTGTGGTGTAGTGGTTGGCAGTGCGCGCTACCATTCTGCAGGGCCTGGGTTCTAGCCCGGTTCAACCCAACATAAAAAAAAGTGATAATAAAAGTTTTTTTTTTTTAAAGCCGGCAATGACAAACGTCCGAGCGTATTTCTGCATTGAAAAACAGCTTCTCATAAGAATATATTCGCTTTTTGGAGCCGGCTGAAAACTGTAACAACTGACTGAACTGTACAATGACGTCTACTCAGACTATGGAGATGAAGAGTCCATTCAAAGATCTTTTGGGTGTTTGTAAAATCCGATTTGTTGATAAATAAAGTTAGTTTCATAGTCTTATAAAGTGTATCTGCTTATTCATGCTCAATTTTTTTTCTGGGCATTGTGTATACTTCGGAAACCTAAGGAAATACTCGTTTTCAGGAATTTTAAATAAGAGTTAAAGAATTCAACTTTAAAATGCGAGTTGAAATGTCACAAGCGTCATCGTGAAATGAAGCAAATAAAGCTTTTTCGCAAAAAAAAAATAATAATAATACTTCGAATTAAATTTAAAAAGTTAAACCTTATTGCACATGCACGCCTCATTTTTGAATAACGAACGAGTGGTCTAGATTTGATGACCTGGACAAAATTTCCCATTACGTATTATAGATTGAACTTTTTCGAGCATATTCACGGATACAATTCTTACCTATTCGTCCTTGCCACCCAACAAATTTTAAAATTTTACAGAATTTTCTCTTTGATTTACAAGGTCTCACTTCGAATACCATCAGAGGCAACATGGTAAAATGATAACAATTTTTTTTTGTGTCTTCGAAATATGGAAGGCCACTGTGAAGTGCAGAACGAAAGCGTGTTCAAACGAAAAATGTGGACCTTGAAGTTCCTTATGCCAAATGCATTTTAAAGTAGTTGAATTCAAATGTAGAGTCGGATAATTGCCTTGCTCCTAGGTATTCACCATGTTAATAAAGAAAGTTTCTTACAAGAAAAAAGGCAGATTTCCAACCACTTGTAGTTCGTAAAAAAGTACTTTTTAAATTGCGTTTAAAGTACTTCCATTTCCGACTGGGTAGGTATACCATGCGTATGTATGTCTATGGGCATATACATACATATTTGGATGGACATTCATTTTCACGTGTCTGCAAACTTATACAAACGTGTATATGTGTGTATGTATGTATGTAAATGTCCTGAGTTGGTCGCTGGCTTGCCCATAATCTCGTGTTCATTGCTCACAAATTGAAACAGTAAAGATGAGTAAGTAAACATTTTCATAGGCTCGCCATTCATTAGTCTACTTAAATTTTTGTTGAATCAATTTGTTTAACAACATGTTGCTGGTTAATGCTGCAGGGAGCTGGAATTCAGTAACATGTTGACAAGAGCTAAGGTTTTGAGAAGGTACACCATTCTGAATTTCAAGACTTCAATTAATAATGGCATGATAAATTTTAGCAAAGGATATTGGCTTATGATTGAATATCAAATGTATTCACGACGGGTATTTCAGCTAGGTTTTCCGTTAATTTAGTAGCGTTCGTAGTAATAACTTTCCTCTAATTACTAGAGAGCATTGGTTTTTTCTTGGATAACCGCAGTTAATTTTTTAGTGAAACTTATTAGGGAGCTTCGGAGATGTTTGTGTTAAACATTCGACGCCATGGTGAGAGGGTAATGTTGTGAACGCGTGGATAAGAAGGAAACGGCTGCTCCAACGTCCAGGAAAACGCAGAGGAAAAGGCAAGGATGAAAAAAAATCGAACCAAATGGAATGTGTAGAACTTGTTAAAATTCGCTATTTAATTGGCAACATAGTTCAATGCCGTTCGGAGTGCCAACTATCTTGACCGATCCTGGTAAATATAGTGTTATTTGTGACGATGATTTTCAAAATCAAGATAAAAAGCAAAAAAGAAGGAAACTTAGCAAAAAAAGGAGACAAAAAAATAAAATAGCTCAATAAATAAATTATTTTCTCTTTAAAATATTTTTTGAGGTATTTGAAACCTCATCACGACTGAGTTTTTTTTTTAATAAAGACCTCTAATAATTTATATGAAAAACTTCAATGAAATTAAAAAAATGGCCTACAGCGCCATCTAGCGCAGAGATAATAAAAATCACAATTCGAGGCATTAAATTTTTTAGAGATTTTGGCGTGGATGACATGACATGTTTGTTTATTATCTATTTCGAGGCAGGAAAAAAACTTGGCTTTTTGTACAAAAAAAAAATTTAAAATTGAGTTTGACTCTTATTCCTTCTTGGCATAGATTTTTTGTTTTAACATTATAGAGAATTTTACGTTGGTGGCATGAAGTTTTTACCTGAGAACATCCAAATTAGCTTTTTGCGGGGTTTATTGAAGCAAGGGTCAAAACGACCCTTGAAGGCGGGAGCTAATGGGTTAAAACGTTCTAAGAAAATATTTTCCATGAAATTTTACTATATATGCCGTAACCATTAATTTCGCTCAGATATATATTTTAACCATTTTTTTACACATCTTTGAAAACTTAGGCCGGGACATGAAAACTTTAGTATTTAGGCCATGTGGGGGTGAATACATAGATCTTGCTTAGGTCTCTAATTTAAACGAAACAATTAAGAATTGGGTCCCCAAATATTACCGTGCCCAAATTCTTTTTTTTTCGCCAGCCTTAGCACTTCGCATCCATAACGTATTCTCTTGGGTGGTGTAGCAAAATTTAATTTTTGGTGTCATTGTGTGTGTGAACGCATTTGGCTTTGTTATTTACCTTAAACATTTTTACTCGAACTTATATGGTTTCTTAATTGTTCTCCTAAACTTTAATTAAATAAAACTTGGTTATAAACTTCGTTATTGACGTTCAATTTCATAATATAATTATCTTATTATTTTTTCTGGATTGTGTTTTACCATCAGCCAACCCCGCCCTCTCCACTAAGTCACCCACTTGCTCGGTTTTTTGTTGCCTCCCCCTTTTTCGTAGGTTTGCCAATTGTGTTGGTGGTTGTTGCAAGTACGTACGCATGAAAATCAGAGTTGGATCTAGCATTAAATTTTTCGTTAGTCTGTGAAGTACCTTGCATGACACCGTCAAAGAAAAAAGAAATAATTAAAAATTAACGCATTTAATAAGCTATAAAACTGCATACCAAAACTTATTCTAGAATTTAAAGTTAAAGTGCTTGGAATTGGGATGAAAATTTTGTGGATTTTATTTTTTATTTTTTACAAAGTCTGAAATTTAGATTTATATGGTATTTGTTAGATAAAGAGCCATGCTTTTATACTAAAATAATTAACCTTGAAAAAAGCAAAAGAAAAGTAGTCAAAACTGGTAAAAATTTTGATGTGCTATCTTTTGTGGAGGGGTGCAGATTTAGTAAATAATTAAATAAATAAATAAATAAATATATCACCCGTATGCAGGAGGAAAGTAATAATTCAATGAGGTTTTCTTTAACTTCATTAAATTGCAATAAATGACTAGCAATTGAACGTGGTGTACAGTAAATTTTTCAAATATAACTAGCCACTGCCGATTAAAAAGTTAGCATTTATTTTTAGCCAAATCATATTAAAGCAAACCGCCACAAACGGATTACATCATAATATTTTCAATTAACTTAAGAATAAAATATATATGGGCCATTCCAGGGTACAATTTGTGTGGCTCTGCGCAAAATTATAGAGACCAAACGTTATTTTTAGGAGGTGCAAAGTTGGTTGTTTTCTGTAGAATCGAAAGTTATGTGACGCTTATAAATTGCAATTTTTCGGTACTAATCACCATTGTGCGACCACTCTCCAGAAAATAACTAAAGATCGCTATTTAGATCTACCATTTGCAGGCCTGTTCCGCGTTGGTAAAAAAATTTTTGTTAGCGATAAATAAAGTTCCTGGTAATTTTTTAACCCCTTTCCTACTGATAAATTTTGTTACCATCTCATAAGCAGGTAACAGAATATTGCCCCGTGAAATATGCAACAGCAGAATTTATACAAAACTTCATAGCTAAGTAGCTTGTAATTGCGGCTACAAGAAGTGGTGTTTTTTTTTGGTAACAAAATTTTCCGGTGTCAAAATATTTGGTAACAAGCAGATTAAGCCTGTTATCCTGGAAAGTTAAATTCGAACGTACGCACATGGCGTATGAGTAACATTTTAATATCCACTGAGTAACTCATACGCCGTGTATGTGCATACGTTCGAATATAACTTTTCCGTATAAGTGGATCCGCCATTTTGAATATCTACTTTGAGTTCAGATTCGTAATCAGTGACCTTAATAAATATCTCCCAATTGTAATCTTTTATGCGTATCTAATCGATTTTATTTTTTTGCCGCCATATTAGGTCTGCCATTTTTAATTTTTCCAAACTGACTTCAGATTCATTCGCGATTCATAGGAACATTTTCTGTACACTGGTCGGAAAATGGTGATTTAGTACCGACAAATTGTTTTTTTTTATAAGCGCCACATAACTTTCGATTCTACATAAAAAATATTTTTTTTCCATGGGCAGAGGTTTCATCAAGATATAGCAGCAATCGAAAATGGGTTTTGTGGTGAAAAATCTACAACTTTTTCATTTAAAAACGACACATGATAATATCTGGTTTGGTGTTAGTGCGTATACCAATTCATATAATATATTTTCGGATTGTCGGATTTGAAAAAAAAAATTTTGAAAGGATATTCAAGGATAACAACTTCAAAGTACATTTGTGAGGCGTTTTACCACACAATTACTGAGAAAAAATAGTTATTTCATTTGAAATCCATATTTCTGCACCTTATGACCTTTTTTTATCAACCTCTGTCCTTATAGAAACTGCAAGGTCCTTTAAAAATTCGTGATGTTCTGTGAAAAAGAAAATAAAAACCCGAATTTGCTATATTCGCCATGAAGTTTAGCAGATATACCTATTTTCTAATGAAAAAAAAATGTGTTACAAAATAAACTTACCTGTATATATCCTGGAGTAATGAAGATAGTGGTTTGAAATTTGGGTTGGTAATAGTGTATATAACAATTCACATAATTTATTTTTGTTCGAGGATTTGAATGATATTCGTCGGGGATATTCGAGGACAAAACTTTAAAGGACATTTTTGAGGTGTTTAACCCCACAGGATATCTGCGAAAAAAAACTAATTTTAAGATTGTGTGCATCGTACTTATTCATTTGGTACCTATATTTCTATACCTTGTATAACTTTAGGTTTATAAGATTTTTATGAAACTACTGTCCTTTTTGTGACTCTAAGGTCCTTTAAAAAATCAAACTCTCTGAGAAAAAAAAATAAAAGCGCAAATTCGTTATATTTTAGCACTAGTATCGAGCGTATATCGATTTTACCATATGTGATTTGGGTTGTCGCACGGTGCAATAAGATATCCGCGTGTGGGACCTAAAAATTCGGACCAAAGTTATATTTAATACCAAATTATATTCAAAAAAGGTATACAAATCACAATCTAGAAAACTTTCTCTTGCACTGTGCATAATCAGCATTGCCAAGTGCTTGATGTTTTTAATATTTAAAAGGGCTAATTATTACTTAAAATGCAATGAGATGCAATTTATATACTTAATTATGTAAATAGCTTTCAACAAAGGTTTGCATCCTCTCAAATACTGGCTTACACAATCTTTACTTTGTTATTATTTTCTAATGCAATCGCTGCACTGTCGAAGTTGCACTGCTTAAGCCGCGTTGAGTGGCCATTGTGGGGCATTCGCAAATGAACTTTTAATGAAATTCACAACTTACAAGCGAACGAAAAGTTTTAAGCGAAAACAAAAACATAAAAGAAATCGCAAACTTCACAGCAGTGGCGGTGACAACTACTCTGTTAATCTTGCGCTTTTTGCAAAACACACTTTTCATACGCAAATTCCAAGATGTGAAGGCATTTTCATATTTTTCAGGTTTTTATATCTATGGCTTTAAAAGTAGGATTAATGACAATTACGAAGTTGGCTGCCAAAGTGTTAGAAGAAAAGTGTTTGACGAAGCGAAAGAAACGAGCAGTGTAATATGGGGGCGTTTATGTACATATGTATAATGCACATAGACACACGTACTTACATACATACATATATATGAACGTATGTGGGTTATTCGTATGAAAAAAGTTATTGATTTTATTATGTGACTTAGTTTTTAGATACCCTCTTCTGATATATTTTAGAACGCTCGTTTCGTTGACCCTGAAAGGAGGCTATAAAATTGTAAAAAAAAACCCAAAATTTTACAACCATAATTTTATTTTGGATACTAGTTAAAAGGATATCTAAAAATGTTACATATTTTGTTAACGCATTACAAATAAAAAAGTTAATGTGTAAATTTAGATCTATTCCGCAAAGCATCATAAAATTACACCGGTGTTATATTTTCTACCCGAACTGATTTCTCATGCATTTTTCGCTTTCTAAAAGTTAGTTCTCGCATTAATTTCCGGACATGTCACATCCACTTATACATCCACATTCATTGCCATCAGCAATGAATGCAACGGCAAATGTCATCTTTGACACTTTTGTGCTGCACTGATTATTCTTGTTGTGAATGCAGGCAATAGTATGTATGTACATATTTACGTACATATGTATGCATGTGTAGACAATGTTCCCCAGTGTGTTGCTTCCCTGTAAAAAATTGTGCGCCAAGTCTCTAAAGAGACTACTCCGGGTCTAGTCTCAATCGGGCACATTTGGGTATTAATTAGTCGCAACTGTTCTAATAAAGGTACTATTGGAGATCAATTAGCCTCGACTTATCTCTAACGGGTCCAATTACCGATTTAATGATATGTAGAGAGAGTATTCGCTTAGCAAACCTGAGATCCCCGTTTCGAATCGCAGCTGGCGTATTTTTTTTTTTTTAAAGCGACTAGAATACGCTCGAACTAAAGCGAACAGTTTATTCCGCAAAAAGAGAACAAAACTGGCATTAGTCGCATGTTCCTTTGCTTTTGCTCTCGGAGTCATATCGGGTTAGTCGCAGTTTTTAGCAGGGTTGTGTTGGCCCATCATCCGTATGGAAGAACAGAGTGTAAACACGCATTACACATATCCCCACCTACAATCCTGTAAGGGATGACCCACATGCCTGACATTTGAGTAGCTGCCCTATTTTTGTGAACGACATCGAATAGCAAGCAGCGCACGTACAGTTGACATAACTTTCCTTAGCTCACTTGCGACACCTACTTTGGCGTTTGCTTGTAACAATATGTGTCATACTCTTTTACTTTTCCGCTTCTGTATATTTACAAACAATCCTCATATGCATGCCTGGAGTGTTCGATATTTGTGGAACTTTTTTCACTTTGGAATTTTTTGATGACATGCTGAGCTTTGCATATTTTTCTCATTTCTAGAATATTTTTCTTCTCTACATACATATTAACCCAATTCTTCATTTTATTCTTTTATATACATTCGTTCGTTTGCAAAAATTTGTATTATTTTATTGCAATTTATTCGCATAAAAATGCATACTTGAGTGGCACATGAATTTGGCCAGTCGTAAAATTCGTATTACGGTATGTAAATTGTCAAAGGTATTGTTGTATACTTTTCGAGTCAAGAAAACGTAATAAATACATCATTGTCAATTTTACCCAAGCGTAGTATGCTTTGTTTTCATACATACATATGTACGGATGCACATACTTGCATTTTATTGATGTAATAATGTATGTATGCTTTAAAAAGTTCATCGAGATATGGAAGAGGTAATTGTATACGTTGTAAAGAAGAGGAGCAGTAAGTTTATGGGGATATTGTTTATGAAATAAATTTGTAATAATTATTATTTAAATAACGGAAAGTATGGGAATAAAAATTGAGCAACGAAAAAAGGTATGTATAGAGAGCAGTTTTCTCAAAAATAATGCCACTGAATCGTATTTAAGGGCAGATATCAAACGGGTGGAGTCCCCCCGGGCCCGGGATTTTTAAGGGGCCTGAAATATCAGAAAATATTATATATAAAATGTGCTAATTGATCACAAAACAGTGACAGACTTATGGTTTCGTTGAGTTTTTTAACCAATTTTGGATTATATTAGCTTATCTTACGTTCATAATTAACATTAAAAAAAAACATTTTATTCATTATAGAGACGGCCCTGAATATATGATCCTGCCCTAGGACATCGCAATATTAATTAGACCGCATTTTTATATGCATTTCGGTTAATTTTGGAATGCAAGCGCAATTTTTGCAGGGTCTCCAACGCTATACTTCT